CCAAACTTAGACATTCTTGTCATGTCAGGGAAGGACATACTTATCTGATGGTTTCAAAAGAGATGAGGAAAATATTTAAATGATCCTCTTGTAGTGCCTTTTTAAAAGATAGCTGAGGCGTGCCTGGGTGGCTCAGTCAGTTAAGCATCCAACTTGGGCTCAGGTAATGATCTCACAGTTTGTGAGATCTCACAGTGAGTTTGAGCCCTACATTGGGCTCTGTGCTGACAGCTCAGAGCCTACAGCCTACTTGGATTCTGTGTCTCTGTCTCTTTCTGCCCCTCCCCTGCTCATGCTGTCTGTCTCTTTCTGTCAACAATAAATAAACATTTAAAAAATTTTTAAAAAACCCAAAATGGTAGCTGATTCAGTTTTTTCATCGTTAGAACTGAGAGTCATTGCATATTAGGGGGGTCGTCACTGACCAAAGCATGATCACGGGTGTGTCATATATGTTGACTGCAAAGAGCAGGAATCAACTCTGGCCAGCGTGGGCAAAAGGAGTTTGTTGGAAGGCCCTCGGAGCCAGTGAGTTGGCAGGAGGCTGCCGGCTGGAGCAGGTAACGTGGAGGCCAGGCCATGGGGAGCCCACAACAGGTAGCCCCTCAACTGAAACAGGGCCGGTCTGGCCAGGACGCTGCTGCTTCCGAGATGACTGGCTTCCAGCCATTCACCCACTTGCTCCAGACCCGGTATCCCAGGGGGTCTGATTGGCTGAACTTTGGCCATGTGCCCATTGGCTATGCTGGGGAAGGAAAGGGTGGGTGTAGCTCCTGGGTGCCCATGTTGTGAGTGGCCTGCATTTGGGGCCATACTCCCACCTAAACCACGAGGAGAAAGCCTAAAAAGACCAAAGAAAGAGGTGGGTTCTGGGGGTACATTCCCCTCCCAAAGGCTTTGTAGCAACAGTTATCTCTCATTTTGACTTTAAGAGTGATTATTTAAAGGGGCACCTGCGTGGCTCAGTCAGTTAAGCATCCAGCGTTGGCTTAGGTCATGATCTCACGGTTTATGAGTTCGAGCACCACCTCTGGCTCTGTGCTGACAGCTCAGAGCCTGGAGCCTGCTTCAGATTCTGTCTCCCTCTTTCTTTGTCCCTCCCCCACTCATGCTCTGTCTCTCTCTCTCTCAAAAATAAACAAACATTTAAAAAAATAGAGTGATTATTTAAGATGTACACTAAAATCCTACTCACTCCTCCCCAAACCCCAGCTGAGTGTGTTTGGATGGGGCTATGCCAGGGCCACTCACGGGTCTTCTAACCTGTTACCTAGTGGGCTCGCCCACCTGATCCCTGTAGCTGGCCTGGTCTGCTCAGTCTGGGCTGGTTTTCCTTCCAGGTTACATAAGGACAGGCTCCATCTTTCTGGCCCAAACTCAGGACCGGCTCATCTCCCTGAAGCGTATCAACTCCAGGCTGAAGTATGTATGAGACTAGAAGCCTGTCCTGACACTCCTGTCAGACTGACCTCTGCCAGAGGGCCATGCATGTCATTGTCCCCTTGTGTTCTGTGGCAGTGTCATAGGCATCCCTTCTGAGATCATCTCCCCCAAGAAAGTGGCCGAACTTCACCCTCTCCTAAACGTGCACGACCTGGTGGGGGCCATGCATGTTCCCGAGGATGCGGTGGTGTCCTCTGCTGATGTGGCTCTTGCCCTGGCAAGTGCTGCCTCCCAAAATGGTAAGCATGTTTCTGGGTGAGGAGGAAAGAGGTCATGTAAGAAGGTGTCTTCCAATCGGCAGTGACCCCAACTCGGCTTCCATATTTGAACACTGGCTCTTAGAATGTTTGTTTGAATATCCTCTCTTAAGTTAATAAGTGTTTTTCCTCACGGCCACATTTTTCTTATTAAAGTTCTAAGGAACTGCTTTTTAGTAATGACCGTAAGTTCAAACTTAGGGGAATTCCCCCCCCCCCCCCCACAGAACGTGAGAAGCTCCAAGGGCAGAAGACCTGGTGGGGACTGAGTCCGAAAGCTGGTCATGTCCTGGGTTTGGAATGAATGAGGGGAAGACTAAGTAGTGTCCATGGTGTTCTGCACTTTGGATGAACTGATTCATGGTGTGGGTGGATTTGGATTTAAGACGCCCTATTTAATCTTCTTCTCCCCTCCCCCTTTTATGGTTCCTAGAATTGAATTGTGTACTAAAGTGACCTGCTGTTTTCAGTCACGGAAGAGGCCCATGGACACTGCCCCAGGATGTGGTTCCTGGAAGTTTTTGTGTTTTTAAATTAAAGCATTGACCTGGCTTTTTCATCATTTCTCACGGGTTTAGAATCTGCTGCAGAATCTGCTGCTGCCTTAATTCTGGGCCATCCGAAGATGGATGCACTGCCTCTTTCTTTACCTTGGAACAGGTGTGCAGATCTATGACCGTACAAGCGTGCTTCATGTAATGGTCAAAAAAGGCCAAGTAACCGGCGTGGAGACCGATAAAGGACAGATTGAGTGCCAGTATTTTGTCAACTGTGCTGGTCAGGTAGGTTAGCAACAACACTGGGTCACTGATCTAACGTAACAACAGTCACTGCCGGGATTTGGGGCGTGAAGACGTAAGGTTAATACTGTGATGGACTAAGCAGGTGTCAGGGACCACCTATTGTTTGGACTAGAAACCTCAGAATTCTCGTGCGCTCCATCAGAAGCCTGTAGCTAGTCCTCAAGGAAAAGCACCGTCGTGACCTTTTCCTTCCTCCACCCTGGGTTAATGCGTGCTCTCCTGGCCAGGAAGGCCACAAAAACGGTTGGGCATTGACACATCCTCGTTGTTGGGTCTTCCTGTGGTATTTCATTTTATTCTACAACCTAGCACATAAGTATTAGGCTATCTTTTGTGTCAGGAGCCTGGATTCAGTTCAGAGCACTAAGCTGCTTCTACTTTTAAGGCATATTGGTGCCTTGCCTTCCACTCGACAATCTTCGAGTGGTGACCTACGGGTACTTTTTGCCTCATGAAGATCACATATGATGGTATTCGGGGTTTGTAGTCGAGGTCAGGCATTTTGTTCGAAGGGCCTCACTTGCCCCCCACGAGCTCCTAAGTCTGTCGTTCTTTGGTATAAGAATAATGATTATGGTTAAAAAAAAAGAAGAATGGTTATGGTTTAACAAGCCTGGTGTTGCTCCCCCCCATGAACTGAGCTAAATAAAGCAGGCTGCAGTGTGGCTTCCCGCCCCAGACGTTGGGACAAGAGCACACATAGGCCACTTGAATTAAACTCTTTTCAAGCGGCTGAACTTGCTCATTTGTCTTTCTGTTCCTCTTCCCACCCACAAATCAATCCGTCCGTTTGTAGTGGGCATACGAGCTGGGTCTGTCCAACGAGGAGCCGGTTAGTATCCCGTTACATGCCTGCGAACACTTCTACCTTCTGACTCGCCCCTTGGAGACCCCTCTGCAGAGCAACACACCAAGTGAGGACTTACGCTTTGTCTTTAATCTCATTTCCTTGCCACTGTTCTGTCCTCTGAAAAGGAAGACTTTGTGCTAAGGACAGACTCTGCTTGAGAGAGCCTTGTCTTTTCTGAAGCATGTTACAGGGAGGCGGACCCAATCCTAACTTGCCCGTAAGAACTCCTTACGAAAGGATGGATAAAACGGGCATTCCGCTGAAGCCGTGTTTTGGTTTGTTAGTTTTGTAAGCTAATTGCATTCCCAAACAGAGGTCCAAATTGAGAATATTTGGAATATAACCTGGAATTTTTGGCTTGAATGGCATATGTTGTAGAGAGCTTATAGGTAAGCTACAGAGTCCGGTTGCTCAGGGACCCCAAGCACCACAGGAGAGGGCTTGACGTCACGTGGCAGGTCTCAACCCCTAGAATGAGGTCGCCGTACCCCCTTTCTGCTAGGCTTTCACGGTCACTACAGCAGTTCTATAGTCTGGTTGTGAGGACTAGACAGAGCTTCTAGGGAATTAAGCAGGTCAGGGATAGAGAAATAGTCTCCACTGTAATCTGAGAGGGAGGATCCTCCCCCATCACCTTGAAAGCTCTGTGTTCACTGGATGCTCTTCACTAACAGAGCCAGTAGGCGTTTTTGTTCTGCTTTTTTTCTGTCCCTTTAGAAAGCTGGCTTGCCTCTAAACCTTGCTTTTCCCTTCTACCCACCCCACCCCCGACTCCCTTGTCATTTCTCTTCCTCAGCTGTTGTGGATGCTGATGGAAGAATTTATATCCGGAACTGGCAGGGTGGCATCTTGTCTGGGGGCTTTGAGAAGAACCCGAAGCCAATATTTACTGAGGGCAAGAACCAGCTGGAAATTCAAAATCTGCAGGAAGACTGGGATCACTTTGGTGTGTGAGCTACAGGATAACTATAATGCCCTGTGTTTGTGTAAGATGCTATCTTTTTGAAAGCATTTTCAAGAAGAGATTCTTCTTTGATCTTTGTAACAGCCCCATGAGGTGCTTTCAGAAGGCAGTCCACAGGGTCTGCCTGGTCTAAGGCTGCGGTCACTGGGTACTGGATTCGGGGGATGAAAATCTTGGTTAGGGGATCCCAGGCTTATTACTTAACTAAAATCATTGCTGAAATGCTAGGCTAGGAGGAAACCTTTTGTGTAGGACTGCATGTAAGACTGAAGACGTTTTTAGAAAGCAGAATTGTTTTGTTAATACAGTCTTTTACTCGGTTTTTGTTTTTATTGAAGAACTGACCTACAGTACTGTATGAGTTTCACGTGTGCCTCACAGTGATTCGATATTTATGTTCTACTCAGTTTTGTAATAATTTTATTTACTGGATAGTTAATAAAGGCCCATGTTTCCAAATTCAAAAGATAAGAAACTGTCTATAATGAAGAGTTTGCCTCCCAACCCTTGATGGACCTTTTAAAAATAAACTTTTTATTCTGAGGGATTTTAAACTGTCAGAAGTGGAGAGAATAGTATACAGAACCTTCTGTGTACCCACCAGCCAGCTTTAGTCTGGTTTCATTTCTTACCACTGTCCCATATGATGGACTTATTTTCAAACAGGCCAAGGTCCTGTCTTCTGCAGCTTTTCCAACTGTGGAAATCCTTGCCTTTATCCTATGTCTCCTCGAGTGTCACTGAAGAGGTTTCCACAAACAGCAATCCCTTGGAGATCTTATCTGTAGTCACATGTATTGTGTGCCCTTCCATAGCTCCTGGCCTTTGCAAAGAAGTGTCCTTTTTCTTAGTCTTTATGCCACGTGCTTTGTAGGTGTGTCCATTAATTACACCAGGGTTTCTACTTTCTGATCTAGGGCCCGTTTGGCTCTTCTGAGAAAACCCCTTTCAAGTGATTTTCTGATAGGAAAGTATAAGGAGCTGAAGTCTTTGAATTCCCTAAAGCTCAAGACTCTATTTGGGTTTGTTTTTATGGCTCAGAGCCCCTGCTGAGTTCCCTCCTGCGTCGGATGCCAGAACTGGAGACTCTGGAGATCATGAAGTTGGTCAACTGCCCCGAGACCTTCACCCCAGACATGAGGTGCATCATGGGCGAGTCTCCGGCAGTGCAGGGCTACTACGTCCTGGTGGGAATGAACTCTGCTGGCCTGTCGTTTGCAGGAGGGGCTGGAAGGTAAGTCTGTCTTGATTAGACTCTGCTTGCTGGGCTCTGCTGTGCTTCCCAGAGTGACTTGTTACTAATATGGTGTGTAGTGTGTGTATATAATCCGGTGTGTTGATAGTAAGGAGGAGATACACCTCATTTGGGAGTTGTCCCCTTCAAAGTAATCACTGTGGGATATTCTAGCAGTGTCACTGTGCACAGGGTTTCAGTAACTCTTTTTGGAATTAGTCATGGAGCCTGTGGGATGTACTTTTCAGCTGTTTTGATCCTTTGAGTGTGCATTTGAGTTTGTAAACAGTAAGTATGGTGAGTGACACAGACGATCATGTTGAGTAGTACAAGTTTTCTTTAAAAATTACATATTGATTATGGGGCACCTCTGTGGCTCGGTTGCTTGAGCTGCCAACTCTTGACTTTGGCTCAGGTCATGATCTCAAGGTTCGTGAGTTCAAGCCCCACATTGGGCTCTGCACTGACAGTGTGGAGCCTGCTTGGGATTCTTTCTCCCTTCCTCTCTGTTCTCTCTCAAAATAAACAAACAAACATGTATGTGTATATGTAATAAAAAAACCACATACTGATTAAACAAGCCAGTCAGAAGGGATGAATACTGTGTGCAGTACCGTTCATGAAGACAGACAGTATCACAGTGGTTGCCAAGGCTGTGGACGGGAATGGAGAGGGACTGCTTCTCAGGTGGATGGAGTTTCAGTTTGGGAAGATGAAGAGTTCTGGGGGTGGATGGTTGTGATGGTTACACAGCAGTGTCAGTGTACTTAATGCCACTGAACCTCACAATTAGAAATGACTGAGATGGTTGATTTTATGTTCTTTGTATTTTGCCACAATTAAAAGTTACTTTTTTTTTTATCAATGAGGCAACTTTTTTTTTTTTTTTTTTTTTTTTTTTTTTTTTTTTAAGTTTACCGAGAGACTGGTGGGAGAGGGGCAGAGAGACAGGGAGAGAGAGAATCCCAAGCAGGTTTGGCAATATTAGTGTGGAGCCCGACACGTGGCTCAAACCACAAACCATGAGATCATGACCTGAACTGACTGAAAAGAGTCAGAAGCTTAACCAACCGAGCCACCCAGGCACCCCGAGGCCACTTTGTTTTTTAATTAAAAAAAATTTTTTTAATGTTTATTTTTGAGAGAGAGAGACAGAGTGTGAGTGGGCAAGGGGTAGAGAGAGAGGGAGACATAGAATCCGAAGCAGGCTCTAGGCTGCAAGCTGTCAGCACAGAGCCCGATGCGGGGCTTGAACTCACAAACTGTGTGGTCATGACCTGAGTCGAAGTCGGAAGCTTAACAACTGAGGCCACTTTTCTTGAGTGACTTGTAGAATGGTTCTGAAAACAGTCATGGAAGAGGAGTTACCAAAAGCAGAGATATGATCAGATAGATGTATAACCTCCTGAAGGTTTTCCAGAAAAAGCCCATTGGATGTATGAATAGAGTATGTTTTTCATAGATGTCACTTATGTCTTAAAACACTTTCTAGGGAACCTTATCATTAGAACTAAGATTGTCATAGCAGATTTGAGAGCAGTAGATGGATCTGTGTTTGTTTCTTCAGAAAAATTAAGGAAATTGCCCAGAATTTCTCAACCAGTCTGTGACAAGACAGGATGTTTGATTCTGTTGGTTCTTGTTTCCTAGTACAGTTAGGAGAGTATCCCATCTGAGGCCCAGCAACTTCCCCATCTAAACAGGTACCTCGCCGAATGGATGGTGCATGGTTATCCATCAGAAAGCATCTGGGAATTGGACTTGAAACGTTTTGGAGCCCTCCAGAGCAGCCGTACCTTTCTGCGCCACCGGGTCATGGAAGTCATGCGTGAGTAGAGCTTGATCCCATTTGCATCTAGTCGAAGGTGTCTTCTTGGGGGCTGTTGGATCATTCAGAGGAGCAGATCTTTCCCTCAGTTATTTAAGAATTGCTTCAAGTTGGCCTCTCGAGTTTGACTGGTAGGGGGCCCATGTTGGGGCATTAGGCCCCATGTGATATTTACATAACCATCTCTTTAGTATGTTGTCCTTTATTTACCTCTGGGAACAGGAAAGAAGAAAAGGACTTACAGGTGGTAATTGCTATCAGACTTCCCGCAGCAGCTTCTTGTATATTCCTAGCATCGTCTGCTTTCCACTTTGCTTGGAAAGCGCCCATGTCAGGTGAATGTTCTCTCTCCTCACTTGATCTTTGAGATTACAGTTTGCTTTCCAAGGCAGAGGATTTGGCTTGTTCTCAAAGCTTCAAGCTTCTCTGAGTGATTTTTGTCATAACTGTCACATGCTAGCAAGATAGGAAACTACTTCTCATATAAATACAAAACGTACATTTCTGTTCTCCTCATTCCTACTTCTCTCCAGCTTCATTCTAACTTGTTACTCTACCTTACCTTTATTTTCTAGAGACAGGTTTTGTATCAAGAATTGAACCAAACCAGATTGTAATTTCATCTTCCTGTACTGAGGAACTATTCTGAGACTTTGCCAAAATATATAGCTAGATACTTGGGGCATGTTTATGTTCACAGTTGAGTTTCTACATATGCTGTGACTGCCATCCTTTAACAATGAATTGTTGGTTTAATAGCAGGCGGTCCCATTCACGGTGAGGCCTCTGAACGACCTTTAGCACCTGTGTATTCACTTTTAGCCTGTCTAGAGAACTCTTACTGGTGGGAGACAACCCGGCAGCAGTATGGGTGGCCGCTAAGGTTATTTTTGGCAAATATTTTGGTTAAAATGTTGACTCGCCAGAAGTCTCAATTTCCCTAGCCATTTGTTACTTTAGAACCTGTGCAAATCATAAGGGAGCTCGAGTTTCCCTGTGATGACCTGACACGCTGGGTAGCCTTCTCTGATTCTCATGTAATAGAAATGGGAGGCATGACAGGAAACGAGAAAAGGGTAAATAGAACCTAAAGTACCAGAGAAGACTGAAAAATTGTCGCAAGATAAGGCAACCAGCATGGCTTCCTTCTCTTTAATTTCTCAGCCTCCTCCCCATTCTGATGTACCTCTTGTTTGGAATAGTTTGAGGTCAGTTCTTCTCTTTGGAAGGGACTAGAGATCACACTCTTTCTGGCTATTTTTACTTATTGCTGTTGCAGATTGGACATTAGGAGAAATGAATTGTGACCCTAGCTTTGTTATGTGAATAATGTGACTGGGACAGTACTGTGCAGCCACCAAATCAAGGTATGCTATGTTCCCTTTCACCTCAGAAACGGGTTAAATGTTAGAGAGGAAATGTGTCTAACAGTCCTGAGATCCCAGCAACACAGGCACTGTAAAGAAGCAAGTGCCATGTTTTCACACTCTGCTCCTCAGATACAGTCTTCGTCTCTGCTGTGGGACTTAGCAAGGTTTACAAGCATGACCTTTCTCCCATTGTTTCTGCCTACTAACTTGAAACAGTCATTGAGAACAGAGACTTGGAGTTGTTAACCTGACTCATGGCCCTGTAACTCTGTGGAAAGATCAGGGCAGCTCTTGCAACATCATTCTTTCTTCCGGAGCCTGCCTGTTATACTGGGAACTGTTTGCACATTAGGTCCCGTTAGCCTGGAAAGCATGCTCTTTTGAACAGGAGCGACTCCTGAATCTAGAGATGCTGTGTTCTCGGCTCGGTGGTTTGGGTTTGCAGAGACTGTTATTTCTGTTCTAGCTCTGCTGTATGATCTGAAGGTTCCCCGTTGGGACTTCCAGACCGGGAGGCAGTTACGCACATCTCCTCTCTATGACCGGCTGGACGCACAAGGAGCCAGGTGGATGGAAAAACATGGATTTGAGAGGCCGAAGTACTTCGTGCCACCAGACAAGGGTAAGAAGGCCCGTTCTCATGTTTATTCTTTTGTTGCCTTGAGAACTAATAAAACCCATTTTTAAATGTATTACAGTTAGAATGTGTTCCTGGAGGAATAAAGAAAAACCTGTCACACTATACTAATCCACATGGGGAGAGTCCTCAATATAAATGTCCTTTTCTCTTTTTCTTTTGTTGTTTGCCGGTCTGTAGACCTCCTGGCATTGGAGCAGAGCAAGACTTTCTATAAGCCAGACTGGTTTGACATTGTGGAGTCTGAAGTCAAGTGCTGTAAGGAAGCTGTGTGTGTCATTGACATGTCCTCTTTCACAAAGTTCGAAATAACAGTAAGTGCTTGAGAAACCCAAATAATAGATTAGAAACTTCTGAATATTTGTTGAATGTCTCCTTTTTTATCTGCCACTTCAAAACCAATTTTGTAAGACCTCTGGTATGTTTTAGTGTTTTACTAAACTGTAATACATTTTTCTGAAGTTTTAGCTCTTTGTTTCTGGGTTTTAATCTGCTTGTAGAGGCCCACTTACCATTAGAATCACGAGCCAGTTGGGGCGCCTGGGTGGCTCAGTCACTTAAGCGTCCGACCTTGGCTCAGGTCATGATCTCGCGGTCTGTGAGTTTGAGCCCCGCATCAGGCTCTGTGCTGACAGCTCAGAGCCTGGAACCTGCTTCGGATTCTGTGTCTCCCTCTCTTTCTGCCCCTCCCCCACTCATGCTGTCTTCTCTGTGTCTCAAAAATAAGTAAACAGTAAAAAGAAACAAAACAGAGCCTGGGTGGCATGAATGGGTTGTTATCAATCCGACTTCAGCCAGGTCGCGATCTCATGGTCCGGGAGTTTGACGCGTCCAGGCTCTGGCTGATGGCTCAGAGCCTGGAGCCTGTTCCATTCTGTGTCTCCCTCTCTCTCTGCCCCTCCCCCCCCGTTCATGCTCTGTCTCTCTCTGTCCCAAAAATAAATAAAAACGTTGAAAAAAATAAAATAAAATAATAAAAACAACGAGCTTTCTTTGGAGCTTCTCGCAGTGGAGTAAATCCGTAGATACTGTTGCTAAATCCGCAGATACTGTTGCAGTTGGGAACTGGCTAATTGAATTGCCTCAGGGGGTCACACTGCTCAGCAGACTGTGTTACCAACCAGCTGTTCTTGTGCTCGCTCTCTCTGCTTTCTTTCCTCACCCTCCAGTCCACCGGAGACCAGGCATTGGAAATTCTTCAGTACCTCTTCTCCAATGACCTCGATGTACCCGTGGGCCACATTGTGCACACCGGCATGCTCAATGAGGGTGGAGGGTATGAAAACGACTGTAGCATAGCGCGGCTCAGCAAGCGCAGGTAAGGCTGGCTGCCGCCCTGCCTCCCACCCCCCAACCCCTGCGGTGCGCTGCCTCCTGGAGGTGTCCTCGCAGAGCAGAGCGTCCGGCTCACGGTCCGGGAAACCATGACCGTACTGAGGACGAAAAGACATTTCGGTAACTCCTGGCCAGTTCCTTAGCAATGCAGTGCAAATAGAAGCCACGGGGGAAAATGGGGAAGAAACATACCCGATTATATACAAATCGATGTGGAAATAACAGTCCCCCTACTGGGAAAAAGTGTTCTGGTGTGTCAGTAGGTCTGTATATCTTGGCACTAACAGGAAGCCGGGATCTTCGGTGCTTATGTAGTATATCCTAGAATTATGTGCCCCTGGTCTCCTCTGAAGGCGAAGAGGTCATTTGCCAGTATTCTGCTCATTCATTGGCTGCTTTGAAACGAGTTAACTTGACTGCTTCCTGATGCTTTTTCTGCTGCCTGGCTTACATTACTTTCCGGTCTCCCTTTCAGTTTCTTCATGATTTCCCCAACTGACCAGCAGGTCCACTGTTGGGCCTGGCTTAAGAAACACATGCCGGAAGACAGCAACCTGCTTCTGGAGGATGTCACCTGGAAATACACTGGTAAGCCGGCCCTCCAGGCTCAGCTGCACAAGAGGCCAGCCTGTCCAGATATGTCTTCTCCATCTGCCTTCTTTATAGCTGACATTCAGAAATGGGGGTCAGAGTGAGAAGCGTGCTGGAGGCGCCCTGGTCATAGAACACTGATCCCTGATATGTCCCTGCATTTTTGCAAGTGAGGGGTGAGTTGTGCTTCAGTCCGTTTGTCTTGTTTCCCGCTGTGCCCCCTCCAGCCAGGATGGAGGAGTGCAAATATTGGTTGAATGAGTGAAAATTACTTCGAAAATACATTTTTAAATCTACTACCTAAATATTGTTTTCTTCAAAATTTCTCAACTTTTTTTTAAGTGAGTGAATAATTTTTGAGGAGGACTTAATTTCCTGATGATCTACCTCTTCCTCAGCAGTCTTGTCAGGGAGCAGCCCCTTCCCTCACCTCCTCATTCCAGCTTTAATGCTTGCCTATCCCCCACTTCACTGCCCCTCACCCCCAACATGTCCTCGTGGCCAGTTCATCACAGCAGCAGATCTGTTTGACTGTTTGCTACCGGATTGGCAAACTACACAGTCTTACTGAACCAAAGTTGTTTCCTAGCCCAAGAGGGTGTTTGGGGTATAATTTCCACAGGCTGCTGTGCCATGACGGAACCTGGGCTGGTTGGGCCGCTCTCACCATATAGCAACAGTGGGAGGAAGGAGGCAATGGGAACCGTGTGGGAGGTTTGTGGCCGGCCCTGGAAGTGGGCTCCCATCGCCCTGGCCAGGACGCGGTCTCACGTTCCCAGTCTAACCACAAAGGCGGCTATGGGATGTTGTTTCCCCGTGTCCCCGGGAAGAGGAAACACGCTGGCCAGGCTGTCTCTGGCCAGCAGTCAGCAGTGCATGCATTTACCAGGCCTGTCAGGAGAGGTGTCTGCCTGACTTGGGGCGCTCTGTGTCCATCCTGGGATTGCCTAAGCAGAGAGGCGCTTTCGTGGGCTTATCACCCAGGCCTGGCCGTGAGAGAGCAAGTCCCAAACAGACTTTTCCCTTTGGCTCAGCGGTGACTGGACTGGCCAGACATCTCTTGCTCTTTTCTGTTTAGCCCTCAATCTGATTGGCCCTCGAGCTGTGGATGTGCTGTCCGAGTTGTCCTATGCCCCTATGACTCCAGACCACTTCCCAAGTCTGTTCTGCAAGGTGGGTGCTAATTAAGTTCTAGTTTTTAAATGGACAGGGAATATTTCTTTTATAGGGATAGCAATTACACAGTTTTACTACAGCATTAATGTCCACAGAGAGAGTGTGTTGGGGCTTTTATGGAGCAAATAAAATGTCTCAATAAATTCGTCCCTTTATTTTTCACCTTTCTAGGTCTCCTTATTTAATAAGCATTAGGATATCTTTGAAGTGGATTTAACTTTTCTGAATATCAGTCCTTTCTATTTACTGCTTTTTGTAGCAGTGGATTAAATGTGTAAATTAAAGGATTAGGACACTAACGCCAAAAATGCCAATTAAGGTCAGGTTCCTTCTCTCCATGCAGTGCTTCTCCTTTTCCATTCACAGAGTCACTTCTGTGTGTGTAGTATCTCCAGGTAAGAGATGTTCAGGTGAAGCCCTAAACAACTTACATAAGTTTCTTATATTTGGCAGCAGTAGCATCTTGGAACTGAGTAAAAGAAGTAGTAACAATACTGGTAAGAGAGGTGCGAACAGACTAGTGTTTTGACAACCTGTAGCAAAACAGCTGTGGGGCAGCTACTGACTGATGGAGGCTCTTTGAAGTTCAAACCTAAGCTGAGATCCACGTACTCATTGTACAGTGTCCCTTTTTCTCCGTGGCAGAGTGAAAGCAACAGAACAGTCTCACCGTTAGCCATCAGCAACCCTTCCCTGCATGGCCTTGGGTTCTGGAATGAATGATGCACCTATGTGAGCCTACAGGGTAGCAGGTTATGTTGGGCTTCCTGTGGGAACGGTTTGCTCCAGTGCCTTCTGGGACTTAACCACTTGCCATTATAGGAACAGGGATTGTGTTAGAGGCCTGTTAGGTAACTGAGCTGCTGTAAACACATTTTGAATTAGCAGCCTAATCTCTGACCCCAGGGTAGCAGGTGCACCATGTTCTGTGGTCATCACGCATCCTCTTTTGTAGGGCAGGTGCCCTGGACTTGCCTGCCAGATGCCCCAGAGAAGACACAGGCCTGGTCTTTGTTGCTCTTGACACTCTTGACTGAAATCTTTTTAAGGTTCTTTCTTTATTTTTAGAGACAGTGCACAAGTGGGGTGGGGCAGAAAGAGAGGGAGAGAGAATTCCAATCAAGCTCTGCACTGGGGCTCAATCCCACGAACCCTGAAATCATGACTTGAGCCATAATTAAGAGACGCTTAGCCGACTGAGCCACTCGGGCACCCCTAAAACAAACCTTTAGGAGGACTTTGCGAAAAGAAATGTTTCACGATTGTAAAGACTTCGCCTCCACTTCCCACCAGCAGCTTGGCTAGTGCTCCTGAAATGGTGATGTTTCATGAGAAGAGTGTAAAGACCGTGCTCCGTTTCTGGTGACCCCAGTACTCGGAAACAGACCACTCTGGGGATGAATTTCTCTCAGGCGCATGGCTCTGCCGTAGGGTCAAAGGGTGCGGAGCTGATAAGAGGTTTACCTCAGGTGTTCGTTCCTTTAACACACATGTTGAGCGCTCACTTCCTCTGGAGACTCTCCGTGCTGACCTCCTCCCTTTGCTTCCACAGGAGATGAGTGTGGGCTACGCAAATGGGATCAGGGTGATGAGCATGACTCACACAGGAGAGCCGGGATTCATGCTCTACATCCCCATAGAGGTGAGCCCCGTGGAGGAAGGTGGCCGGCTTTCGCACGCCTGCCGGGCACTGGCAGGGTTAGAGAGCCACATCTGACTGGGCCTCGGGAACGGAGGCAGGCTGCATTAGGGGCACTTTAACATTTTGGACTAAGTTACTTACGGTTTCGAATAGGAAATACATTTACGTGGTTTAAAACCTATGGAAAGTATTTAGTGCCACCCGACCAGTTCCCATCAACCACTACCAGTGATACAACTATTAGTATTTGAAGGTCATGTCAGAAATTTTTGTGCATATGCGAGCAAGTTCAAAGACATTCTTAGTCCCGTTTTAGAAACATAGATGGAAGCATACTGCTGTCCTTTATCTCTTCACCAATTGATGGTATAGATCTGCCCTGTCAGTCCCTAAAGAGGAAGCACTTCCGGTTTCTTTTTTTAACAGCAGGATAGTGTTCTATCAGATCATTGAATCATTAGGCTGGTACTAAGAGGCGTTTCCGGTTGTAGGCCTTTGCTGTTATAAACAGTTCCGTGTACAAGAGCATCTCTTTCCTTGTACGTGTGTGCGTGTACCAGTACAGGGTTTCCACACTTTGGGCTGACAGAGAATTGTCAGTGCAGTTGTAATTTTCTTTATATGTGGGATGAAGCAACTTTTTGTAAAAGGCCAAAGATTTATGCGATCTGAAGAGAAACCAGAGTATGAAGCAACTTTTTGGAGTGCATTTCCAAGGAAAAGCTCTTCTATAGGACCTGCACACTCCTGCCTGCCCGTCCGCCACCCTGTTCTGATGTGATCCTACCTTCTCTACCTGTCCTGCTACTTGCTTGTCCCTGAATGTGCTGCTGCTCCTTCCCCAGGGCCTTTGCATTTCCTCTCCCT